TCAGACTTCATTTTCACATGTAATGTTTGGAAGAGTTAGGATGTCCTAGTTGGTGTAATATATGTTTTTAAAGTCAAAATTAACTTATTTACAAATTTAATTTAATTATTTGAAGAAACTAAATAAAATAATGTGTAAGAGGTAACTTATACATAAGAGAGCTTTAATTTATAAAAAAATATTTTAATATTTATTTATTTTCTCTTATAAGTAGTTAATTAAAAAAGTTATCCAAGCAAAACCAATTTGTCCCAATATATTTATTGAATGATGCAAATTTACGAAAATTTTACATAAATAATATTTTTTAAAAGAAAAAATACAAAAATGACACATGTGCAAGTTTATTTACCAGAGTAGAACGGTTTACTGTTCATGGTCAGAATTCAGTTCCCCGGGACATTGACTATTCAAATTCCACATTGACTGTTGATTAAATAATTAAAAGTACAAAATTAAGCATGTTATATATATATATAGATGTTGATATAAAATAAAAAAATTAAAATTGCTTTTAATTTACTTTCACCATTATTTTTACTCTTCTGTTTACAATTTGTACTTATAATCGATCTTTGAGATTACAATTTGTACTTATAATCGATCTTTGAGATTGATAAAAAATTTAACTAAAGGCTCATGGTAAAGGGGTCTACAATGAAATATTTTTTTGGGTAACAAGAATATTACAAAAGTGCAACAAGATTAAATCTAAATGTTTTCGTTTTTAACTATTTCAATCATATTCTCTAATCATTAAGGTACCCTAATAGTTTACTTATAATAAAAGTTAAAGGTCTTAAAAAAACATTCTCATTCCTCAAATACCTATCAATTCTTATATATTAAACATAACTATTATCTAACGTGAAAGTATTTTTAAGAGATTTTTCTTTAATGAAAGAACTTTTAAGAAATTTTTTAAAATTTTTTATTGACTTAAATTTTTATTTATTGTATTTATTTATGAATTAAATTTTAATATTTTTAAATAAATTATCAATAAATAAAAATAATCTTATTCTATAATATATTTTTCATCATAAATCTAAAATATAATTTATATATTTAAAAATATATTTTTATATAAATTTAAATATAATTTATATATT